AAAGAGATAGTATCGAGCCCAGAAGGTGGCATGGTGGTTAAGGCACTGGGCTCCCACATGGCTGACTATGGTTCGAGTCCTGACTGGCAGCTTGAGGATCACTCTGGGTGCATGTGTGTGTGTACCCAAAGTCTCAGGAGAAGAATGGAATAGAGGGGTTATGGTGTGGTCATCCCCCGGGAGGTGATTTCTCATTTTCCCTCTCTATCTCTCTCTGGCAAGTGCATGCTTCATATGGCAAAAAACAAACAAACGAACAAACAAAAAACAAAAACAAAACAAAAAACAAAACAAAAAAAAGATTAAGTATGAACAGTGCCTAGCTCACGTTAAGCTCTTACACTATCTAAATATTAGGAATTCTTTCTTATTTATTAACCAGGTCTTAAATCCATCCAGTTTTTCAACAAATACTAATCAAGATTTTTTATGAATTGGATGTGTACGAAAAAAAAAAAAAAAAAGGCCTAACCCCCAACATCCCAGAATATGACCTTATTTGAAAATAGCGTTCTTACAGAAGTAATCAAGTGAAGGGGCCATCAAGTGGTGCGGTGGTTAAGGCGCTGGACTCCCACCTGGCCAACCATGGTTTGAGTCCTGGACCTGGCAGCTTGCTTTCTCACTTCCCCTGCCTGTTCAAATTTAAAAAATGATGATAAAGATGAAATGAAACAAAGTAATTCTTAAAAAAGAAGTAATCAAGTTAAAATGACGTCAGGATGGGCCCTAATCCAATGTGTCTAGTGTCCATACGCAAGGGGACACACAGACACAGACGGCCAGGCACAGAGGACGAGGAGGTGACGCAGACAAGGTGGCCGTGTGATCGGAGTGGCGGATGCCCAGGTTGCCAGGAAATGCCAGAAGCTGAGGAGGCAAGGGCGGCTCTGCTTGAGCCACCAGAGCCAGCGTGGCCCTCCTTTCCATCTCCAGGACTGCGACACAGTACGTTTCTGGGCTTTTTTCTTTTCTTTTCTTTTTTCTTAATTTTTAAAATTTTTTAAATTTTTTTTTAAAAAATTATTTATTTATTTAATTCCATTTGTTATTATTATGTTTTTATTTGACCAGACACAGCAAACGAGACGG